GAGAGCGGAGCTTCCTGTAGCTGTACGTAGTCGCCATTGTGTTGTTTTAACTTTTGATGTTTTAAGGATATCCGGCCTGATTATCGTTTTGGTTGCACCCGTATCCAAAAGCATGGTTCGTAACTCTCCATCCACGAAACCATCCACAAAAATGCTGTTGAACTTGTGTTGTAGCGATGCGACTTGAGCAGTTTTCGTTGGAACCTGTTGGGTACTGCTTGATATGTGTCCCTTTGATTCGACACTTGGCGAAACCGGGTCCACGTCTTTTTCTTTACAGTGACTTCTTACGTGTCCTGCCTGGCCGCAATTCCAGCAACAAGTCGGTCCTTTCTTGCCCATGTACTCCCTCCATGACTTTCCGCACAATGCTTTCCACGGATTCGTCGGAACATTGGTTGACCGCCCGTACTTCTCACTAGAGACCGAGAACTTTGTTTCGCGGCCTCAAATTCCAGGGCACGTGCTAAAGCATCCACCAAGTGCGTTGGATGGGCTAGATAAGTGCTTGTCTTGTCTCGTTATCACGTAAGCCGTCGGAGAATGCCTGTACTGCCAACCGCTCCATAACATTCTCTGGCGTAGCAGGGTACGCAAGGCGAACGAGGCGGGCTACGTCGGCTTCAAACTCCTGCAGAGACTCATTTGACTTTTGAATGCGATTTTTAGCTGGGAATGATAGACATGTTCCAAATGAGCTTGGCCGTACCTCATTTCTAAATGTCGTACCAATTGCTGATAATCTCCCTGTTCCGATGGTGACAATGTCTGCAGAATATCAGTCGCATCTCGCAGTGCGACAGTCAAAGCGGTAGCCTTTTCAGCGATTGTCCATCCGTTCGCTCTCGCAGCGGCCTCAAACTGGCAAAAATAATTGGCCCAACCGGTTTTTCCGTCAAACTGTGGAGGCTTAATAACTGACTTTGAGATATACTTATTTTCGACTAGTTTCGGTGCCTCCGATGTTTCTTGACATTTTGGTGAATTGGCCTTTTCTTTTCTATTTCTTGTTTTAAAATTTCGATTTTTTTTATTTACATCGTCCTCAATTTGTGTTATTTTGTCTTGTAGCTCCGTAGAATTCTCTATAATCTTTTCTTCTAATTCCCTGGAATTTTCTGTTATCTTTTCTTCTAAATTAAGTATTTTATTATTAAAGCTGGCCTGTATGTCTTTAGAATTTTCTGCGATCTTATCTTCCAAAATATTAATTTTATCACTGATTTTCTCTTCTAAATTAACTTCCAAGTCAATTATTTTACTATTCAAATTGTTCAAGTTGTCGTCTAATTTTTGAGAATTCTCTGTCATTTTATCATTCAAATTCTCTTCCAAGTTAATCATTTTACTATTCAAATTGTTCAAGTTGTCGTTTAAATTGTCTTGTAAATTTTTCAATGACGAGTCAAGGTCACCTTCCAGCTCGAAGTAAAATGTGTCAGGATCCTCACCTTCCTCCACCAAAACGTCTCTCAGTCTAGCAAAATGCTTTTTTTTTCCACCTGTCTCGCACTTTCTCTCTTCCAATACGCATTTCAGTTCGGACACTTTCAAGTCTTTCAACAATTTTTTCAGAGCCATGGTCAGTCTTTTTATTCTTCTAGTCTATCACACACGCCACACTTGACACCAATTGTTACGTTTTTTCGTCGGTTCCGTGTGGATAGAAAGTCACAATTTATTTAAACACTATTTATTTAACACTAATTAACAAAAATAATAACGATAAAAGACATAGAACTATTTACAAACGATTTATAACTAAGAATTTATTTTGAATTTTAGCGCGTCAACTGTATATTTATAACTGCCCTCTCTAGGCCACTGCCGCCGGCTTTTATACCGACAGGTAAAAGAAATCTAGAATAGTCCAAAGATCGTTAGGCGCATAGAGAAGGTTTTCGAATGTTCTCGTATGTACGAGTCCATTCTAGTGGGTCTCGATTCTTCTCGAACGAATGAATCATTGCGGTGTCTATGCGATGTTAAGGTCATCCAAGGGCGGGCCATATTGTGAGGTTAGGTCGAGTCCACACCGGCTCGCAACAATACTGATTTCAAGCCTATGACGAATTGTTTTTGAAATATATATAAATTACCTAAACAAAATGAAAAAATGATAAAAAATTAAATTAGCATTTTTTTTGTACAAATGTCCGTTATTGAAGAACCGCCACTGGCAGTTAGGCATAGTACTGCATACCTGAGAGGAAATCCAATCAGCAAAGAGAGTAAGGTCAGTTACAGACGCAAAAAGAAAAAGTATAAAACGAAATAAGCCTAACTAAATATTTTATTTTAAAAGTTTATAATATAAAACTTCACAATAAATTCAATTTCCTACCACCATCAATTTCTAAATATGCATATAATTAAATAAATTAATAATAAATTAATTTACATATCCACAGCAAAAAGAAAATTATTATTTTCATCCTGGCGTTCAAAACAAGATTAGAAATGAATAAAATTGAAGAACTAACATTTGATTAATACAGAATCGCATTTTTGAGTACCCCTTAATTATTTATTAAATCAGAAACGTATAGTTGGACGATTCCAAAATACTGTTAACCAGGAACTAACAAAGGAAGATGGAACAATATGATACACACATATGAAAGTACATTTTGAATTTTAAATTTATTTTTAGAAAAAATTATAATAAAATTTCTTACAACTAAATTCAAATGTGTTTTGTTGTATATTAGATACCTACCCTTTAACAAACATTTTACAGAAATGAAACTAGTTTAAGATACCTTAATAAAACTAGTTTAAGATAAGTTTTATTATCAAAGATTATTACGAGCCTTTGAATAAAAAAATTAAGGAAGGAGCATATCAAAAATAGATCGACCGCGAGGGACTGTAAAACGGCCGACTTAAATTTCGGTTTATCAGTGCCGCTCTAATTTTATTCAAAACGTGTAAAAATATGATGTAGGGTAGACGTGGGGTAGACTCAATTTTTTTTTGTTTTATTTTACGTTGCGAATAAATGTTGGTAGTTATTAAAATTGTTATAAAAATATATAATTCTAATAAAAATAAATAAGTTGTAATAATTATTTATTAACACAAACATCCGATACGCTACTGAAGCAGATAAGTCAAATTGACGTATCTAAATTCTTTGACATCTAATCTTTGACAAGTAGTAAATAAAAGCAAAAATATAATATAATTAGTTAATTTTAAGTGAATTTTATAAATGATCGGTTTACTACACGTATGTAGTATGTATATTATATAGTCACTTACTAACCGAAAAGTTATTCCATTATTTCCTTCCATTTTATACCAAGATCTACCGCACGCTACACAAACAACTATTTTACAGTCTTTTTCGATAAATTGCAATAATTTCACTGTTAATTTAAGTTCTGCCACAATCCTTCCAGATCAACTACCTGTAAACTATCAGTATTAGAATAAATAACAAATAACATAAAATAAGCTCAGTAAAGACTGACAAATCCGCAAAATTTCAAATCAAATTCAAATGTTTCAAATGAATCGTTAAACAGAACTGTCAAGGATTCCCACCCTAGAGTCCTCTTCCTCCGTCCACCCTCCGTCGACCACGCATTAATACATGGATAGCATTATACTCCTTCCTTAATCCATAGATAAAGGAAATAAATTTAGATTGAAAAGCCCGTCAAAATATATATCTAATTGTTTTTACGCGATCTGGCGCTGCTATAGCGGTTGCTAAGAACAATCGCCAAACAATAACAGAAATAATTTTCTATTGTCAAAGTCAGAATCGTCAAAAATTATAAAATCTTTTAAAATTTAAACCGTCTTCATTGAAAAAAAAATGTGTTTAAATAGTCCATTAACAAAGTAATTATAGCTATCTTGGGAGTTTAATTTAAATTTTACGTACTCAAACCCGTGATAATTGTGAAAAAGTGGCATTAAAACTTAAAAACTGTGTTGTGAACTGTGAACTGCAAAAACCATCGTTGATCGTGGCGTAACGTCGGTTTCCAATGTTTCATAGGTATTTCACGTACATGTCCTTTTATAAAATAAAGTTTCTTGTATGCAACACACAAATAGTGTTTACATTGTTCTTATGGGCACTTTCCAATATAAACTTGTCTCATTTATCTATGCCTTACTCTTTTTATTCGAAGTTACGAGCACGTAACCTAACCTATATTATTTAATACATATATTCAACAATTAAATTAGAAATCATTCAAATTAAATCCATTTATTTCTCATCTCGTTTTGACTAGTCTCAGATTATTATGGAAAACGAATTTAAATATCGTCAAAAAATTAATCATATTACTTAATTTTTCGTCCGTTTCCGTTTTAAGGCTAGTGATAACAGCCGATAAATGTTCGAATTAGCACCAAACAAGTAAAATCAAAATATCCAATTATTTCAATCATTGTTGATGGCTACGTACAACGATAAATTTAGTTGGTGGTATTTCCTCCCTTATTTATTATTAATTAAATCGAATTTAAATTTCGCCCAGGATTATATATAAATTTTACATATGTGTGTATTTATTGTGGTACTTATTAGAGTTTACGTGCGTTTGTCAACAAAAACATCTGGTAACGTTAAAGCGCTACCCAAACAAATTTACATTTTTGACATGTTACGAGCTCGAAATTCAAAAGGTTGCCAGAATTTTACCAACCGTTCCGTAAAACTGGAGTGTTGGCATATTTGAACATGAAAACAGGCCTATCATTTTAGTTTTTGCACGTAGTTTTTTTTTTAATATTGATCGTGGTTAGTATTATTAATTATTATTAATTATCATTTTTGAAAATTGCTGTTTTTGTTGCGTCCTTTAGAAAATTCCCAGTTAATAAAATTGAATACCTATGTTATAATTCAAAGTTCAATATCAAAAATTTGTCTGGCTACAGTAAGCGCGTGGTTTCCGATTAAATTTCACCTATCTGAAATTAGCTAATTTTATTTTCTAAATCCGTGTGAGTTGGCATTCCTTGAAAAAGCGTCAAAACTTGGCCGTTTCCCAGTAGTGACATTCACTCACATTCCACCTTTTGTTGAACCTGAAGTTTAAAAATTATAACAGTGCATTGAATCATACACGTAAGTACCAATATTGCATAACTTTTTCTGTATTATAGAAGATAAGAAGTAATTAAAACATAATCAATGATTAGTAGACAGTAAAAAATACGGGTAAAAACACTTAATAGTAGAGTTAGTGAATCGTAAATTTTATTTATTTGACTTAATAGTAAAATTTTATTTTCTCTAACCTATTATTTTATGTCATTTGTTGTCAACATGCTAGTATTTTGTTTTGTTATACTATGCATTATTCTAACATTTGATATTCAATTCTAATTTACAATTTTTTAATTTAAATCAGACAAAATATACATGGTGTGTCTTAAATAAGTGCAAATAATTTAAGGGGTAGTATTTTTCGACCCCATAAGCACGATATAATAAGGTTATTCTCGCGAATTTTTTTTTAATTTGGAATTTTTTGAAAAAAATTTTGGATTTTTCTTAGTTTAGTTGTAGTTAAGTTTAGTTTTAGTTTAGTTTTTTAGCAAAATAAAAACACTAAATCACCACAATACACCAAAACACTTTTACTTTTACACTGGACGCGCGTTTCGCTAACCATGTTAGCATCATCAGCAGATGATTATAAACTCACTTTATAATAAACTCATTTTATAATCATCTGCTGATGATGCTAACATGGTTAGCGAAACGCGCGTCCAGTGTAAAAGTAAAAGTGTTTTGGTGTATTGTGGTGATTTAGTGTTTTTAGCTTTTTAGTTAAAAAACATAATTTCACATTTTATTAATTTACCTAACACCCTGTATATTTGAATTATTCCTTTGTGAAGATTTTCTCCTTCCTATTTCAAGCATTGCCTATGCGTTTGCGTAAATCGTCTTTGATTATACAAATAATCAATGTATTTAAAAATTGCTTTAAGTGAAATAGACATTTTTCTCATTGTATGTACAGGGTGGCCAACTAAGAATGAACGCCGGCTGTGTCTCAGAAACTACTTATCGTATAACTTTGGGAAAAAAATTCTAATAAGTAAATCGACCAAGAGAAATCGCTCTTTTAAACGAGCCCTAGTTTGTTTAAATCGGTTAACCCAAACCAGAGTTATCCTTATTTTAATAAAAGCAAGTTTAACCTTCCCCCACTACTTTATTTTATGAGATAGAGCAAAACACTCTAATCAAAAAAAATACAAATTTCTCGAAGATTACAATAGTAATATTTAAAATACTTGTTCACCTGCATATTTTTGAGAAAAAAACCATTTTCTGATTGGCTATCAGCGAAACGCCCCCTAGCGGACATTTTTCGAACTTGAAAATAATTTCCAGCGATTTCTCTTGGTCGATTTAATTATTAGAATTTTTTTCCCAAAGTTATACGATAAGTAGTTTCTGAGATACAGCCGGCGTCCATTCTTCATTGGCCACCCGGTACAGGGTTTTAAATTGATATTTAGTGCGACAGAAGTTATAAATTACTCTTAACTTTTCAGTATGAAAACATAGATGTATCATTTAATAAAATATGCATTAGTAGATCAAAGGATTTTTAATTTTAGGATGTTGCAACTGAAATATACAGGGACGAGGATGGATATAACTTCCGATATTTTCCCGATATTAGATACTATTATGACGAAAAAATTCAACGACCACTCAGCTCATACTATGATTATCCATTTAGGTAACTATCACATTAAATTAAAATATATAAAATATTACAATAAAACTGTCTCGTTTTAAAAGACACTGAACCAATTTAAAAAAAGTTATAATAAAAGTATTTGAAAGTGTTTTTTGAAGATTTGAAATAATTATATCATATTATATTTGATATCTTAGTCGAAATATCAAAAACATATTGATGTACTGATTTAAAATTTTAAAATGTGTAAACAATCTATTTATACAGGGTGTCCCAGAAATAAGTGCAAGTATCTTAACTGGTAGTATAGCTTAACCCTAGAAACAAGCGTATGAGTTTTTTTTTCGCGACAAAAAATTTGAAAATTCCAAAATTTATGAAAAATTTTTTGGATTTTTTTTTAGTTTTTAGTTAAAAAACATAATTTCTTCATAATGTGGCAACATAGGTATTAGATTAAATTTACAAGAAAGAAAATCTAGAAAAGATCCAGTGGTTCTCAAAATATTAGCAAAAAATCATTTTTTCTTGGAAATTTGTGAAAGTAAAATAACTCCGTTATTTTGGACTTAATTGAAAAATGATAAAGAGAAAATATGTTTCTTTTATCGAGATCTTATCCACACCTTAAAATGCTTGCACTTATTTCTGGGATACCCTGTATATGAATATCAATTTACAAAATTCTTTACTACTTAAACACGGAATTAATTTACTATTTTTGTTTATTTTTATTTGTAATTCAATTTTAATATATAAAATTTTATAACAAAGTACATATTCATTCAAAAAGTGAGAACCTAATTATACAGCTAAATTTGAGAAAAGGAAATCTTAAAACTAAAAATATTTAAAATAATTAGTAATGATTTAAGAGTTATATTTTTAGAAAAAACTCTATGAGTTTTCACACTTTTCTAGTTGTTTCTAATAATTTAATTAATGTATCATTCATATACAGGGTGATTTTTAACCTATACGCATAAACTTGGGAAATTATTGCTGATGACAAATAATGACTAATAATGGAAAAAACAATAGTAAAATATTTTTATTTACGGAGATAACAAACTATTTGAAATAAAAACAAAAAACGTAAATTCCATTAAATTGAATGTGCATTTACTGATAAAGTTGAAAAATTTTTGTGAAAAAAAAACTCAAATTAATTCAGAATCTAAAAATATTTTACTAACATTTTTTTTCATTATTAGTCATTATTTGTCATCAGCAATAATTTCCCAAGTTTATGCGTATAGGGTAAAAATCACACTGTATAATTGTTATAGAAATTTATATTATTTTTGTATTTTAGAACAAGAGTATGGGTTCCTTACAGAGGTTTGAGAGTATTCTGTGATTATATGCCCTCTGGTTATCCATTCGCAATTCAGAGAGTAAGTTAATGTCCATTTCATATTTACTTAAATTAAAAATATTATTATTATTTTCTGTTTTGTAAAGCTATTTTTGTATTAAGAAAAGAAAAATTTTATAATATATTTTATTATAAACTAATTTATTTCGACTATTTTTCTGTTACAGACCAGCAAAGTTTCATATTTCGATCACTACGAAACAAAGAAATATTTAGCAATTAACTAGAACATAAGCGCATAGGATTATATGCCAATTATATTATATTTGTTTAATAAGAGTTTTATAAGAAACAACAGAGACAGTTTTATAAAGAAAAAACATATTTGTAAATATCTTGTATTTCATTTATATGATGTGTATAATTTATAATGAATATAGAGAAATAAAAATTTAATTTTAAATATACCCTAAATTTTTATTGAAATTTATATTAATAGGAAAAAAATCTGTTGATAAGGAGAGTTCTGGAATTTTCAGTTCATTGATATTTTATTAAACAGTCACTGTTTGATCGAACTCGAAATAACAATGTAGAAATTAGTTTAGTAAATTTGAAAAAATATTTTTTGTTTTGTGTTTAAAGGAAAAGTAATGTCGTTGGATATGTATTTTAATATTTTATAAAGGAAATGTCTTTGCATTCCAATGTCATACGATGCTAGTTTTTAAGGCCTTTTTGTGCAGAGGATGTTTTTTTTGCTAATTGACTCAGTTGTAAGTTGTTTTTTTGTGTTATACAATTTTAAAATGTTAATGCCTTTTTCATTTATACATTTTAGAAACTGTCCTGATGATGGGAATAAAATTCTCGAAAGCTTGACAAATTTGAAAAAGTAGTTTTATTAGCCTGTGTGGTGATTATTGACTGCATCCTCACTTAAATTTTGAGTTTTTTTATAGGATACTATATATAACTAAACAATATTAATATTAACTTATTTAATATTTCTATTTATGTAAGCTGAGAAAAAGGACATAATAAATAAAGAATAAATTAAAAATATTTAAATTATATTTATATAGCTAAATTATCATTGTATTTTAAACGCTATTTATGCAAACCACTTAAGAATAAAATTATATAATCATTTTAATACTTGCAACAAAATGTACTAAATTAATTGAAGAGACTTTAATCCCTAGAAATGCAAAATTTGCACAGAACAAGCCTTGATAGAAATTAACTGGAAAAACATCTTTATGAAACACAAGGCTATCTCTTAATGAAAAATATTCATATTTTATTATTCAGCGAAGAAATTGTTTTGGTTTGAAGGTGCAGTCCGCGGTTCTTCAATTTTCTTTTGTGATTTGCTTAATTTTTACTTTGGCGATTACCAGTTTTTTTAACTCTCTTCTATAATTGCAGTTGCTAATTGTTAGCATTAGCTAATTAAATTCGTTTTTTTTCCTTAAATAAAGGAACGCAAAGAAAATCTTAATAATTAAAGTTCAAACGAATTTGCCTTAGAGAAAAGTTTAAATTAATAGGAGGAATAGTTCGGCAAGAATATTCATTTTGTCTACACAAAAAGTTTTATAATTTAGGGAAGATAACAGAAACTACGTTTGAATGAAAATTACAGAGGTCGTGGAGAAAATCATTTACAAGAGAAAATTATTTATTAGCGTTTCATAATTACCAAGCTCTATAATTTGGTATATTATATTTTATTTTTATCTCCCTTTTTGTACATTAAACGTGTTATTATTAAGATTAAATGAGCCTTTACACTATCCTCGAAATGTTTTACGAAATATTTCTGGAAATATTTGCAATTTTGCAATTTTTTCAATTATCATTACTTTTGATGTAATTTTTTAAAAAGACGAGTTGGTTTTGGTGAGTATTTTCGTAACGTCATATTACGCTGCATCAGATACTTTATACTAAATTTAAACGATACAGTCCTGGTTGTAATAAACATTAATAACGACAACAGAACTAACAATATTAAGGAAAACATCTATAATACTGAAGTATACGAACAAAAAAAAAATTGTAGAAATTACCCTAATACTTTGTATTGCCGTACCTGGCTGCTATATAACTGCCTGTATATGTTTGTTCATGTTGTCATTGAGGCTGCATAATATATCATATTGTGTTATGTTTTCCCATTCTTTTGTAAGGACCAAGCGAAGTTCATTTAATGAAGCTGGTACCGCTTTGCGACCTCTAACCCTCCTACCAAGCATTTCCCAAACGTCGAACGTGATGGGTAGTTCGTAGTAGTATATAGTTCACAATAATCACCAAAGCTGCCTTGTCATATTGAAAAAAAAACTTCAAAAATAAATTATAATTGAAAAAATTGCAAATGGTCTTGGTAGCAAGTTCATTTCGCACTTAAAAATTAACCAAGGCATGTATTGACATGATCCAAAAAACAAAACGCTCAGGAGACATGGTTCTGATCTTAAAATTATATTTCAGGAAAATTTACACACAAAATTATTACACAGGGTGTGTCAAAGTTAGGGTAAAAAACATTCCCTCGATTAACCCTGTATAATATGCAAAATACTAAAGTTTATAAGAAAACTGAGTTTACAAATTAAAGTTGATATAATTATATACAGCTTGCTAAAAAATTCATGAAAATAGGGCTAAAAATAACGAAAATATAACAGTTCAAATTTTACCAAAATTTTCTCCGTTGCTTTTTTTTTGCATTTGAGTGTATTTTGTGAATTCGCACGAAGCAATAACTGTCAAAGTTGTGGTTGCTTCAGAAAAATAAGTTAATATGGAGTATAAATAAGATACCGATAATAATCACATACCGATACCGATTGTAGATTAAATTAGCTATTCCTCTAAGGTTACACAAGAATATTTAGTTTTAATCATTGTCTAACATTATTAATTACAATATAGTAAAAAAATATGTATTCAAAATTTAAAATCGTAAAACTGCAGGGCAATATGCAGTGACTGTTCTGGTGGTCCGCCTTTTATAGGTTTGGTTTGGTTCGTGTAATAATTTTTTATTTTTGAATGGATTTATAACAAACCATGTTATTATTATACAGGGTGGTCCGAATTGTATTCCGGAAACTTCGGTAGCATATTTTGCAGATAAAAATAAGCAAAAAAGTTCATATAAATGTAGGTCCCAAAATGCTTAGTTTCGGAAATACAGGGTGTAGAAGTTTCATTTTTATTTCGATTTTTTCCAAATAATTTATGAAGCAACGTCAATATATGGATGAAAATTGGTGCTTGGGAGTTTTTTGATGAGAAGTTTCATTTTGATGTCAATATAACTCTTACTTGTAGAGGGCACCACCTACATATTTTTTAACTGGTTTGAAGAGTAATAACTTTTCGTCTGTACCTGTATAAAATTACTGAGTAAAAAAATATACATTTGCGAAGTTTTTTACGTAAAAAATGTTTCTTGGTAAGAATCGCTACGAGTAATGGTTCTCCAGATATTTGGAATTGAAATTATCAATAGCTATCATCATTGACATAAATTAAACATGTTGACTAAATAGTTATTAGACTGAAATCATAAATTTGAAATGTTTTTGTGCCAAAAGTTCAACAGAAACTGTTTTATCATAATTTTTTCGCAGGAAAGTTTATGATTAATTTAAAAAAATAAAAATTTCCCAAATTTATTATTTCAGTCAAGTAACTATCTACTCAAGGTGTTTATGTTTTGTCAATAATGACGTGTATTGACTATTTTCATTCTAAATATTTTAAGAACGGCTGCTCGTAGTGATTATTACAAAGAGATATTTTTTACGTAAAAAATCACAGAGATGTATATTTTTTTGCTCGGTAGTTATATACAGGTACGGACGAAAAGTTATTACTCCTCAAACCAGTTGAAACACAAGTAGGTGGCGCCCTCTACAAGTAGGAGTCATATTGATATCAAAATCAAATTTCTCATATCAAAAAACTCCCAAACACCAATTTTCATCTAAATACTCGTATTAACGTTACTTCATAAATTATTTGGAAAAAATCGAAATAAAAATGAAATTTCCACACCCTGTATCTCCAAAACTAACCATTTTATGACATATATTTATACGAACTTTTTTACTTATTTTTAGCAGTAGGATGTGCTGCTGAAGTTTCCGGAATACAGTTCGGACCACCCTGTATATAAGAATATCTTTTATCGACACCGGGTCAATCAATAATTTTCCCAATCAGCTCGATATATTGATGATGTCGCCATTAAGGCCGCATAAACAAACAAAACATATACAATTTTATATATTAATTCATTATAATAAAATTAAATAATAAACATTTTGTAATTATTATATTTCTGCAGATTGAGTAAAAAGTTTTGTTGTTAAATGTCTATGCTACATATTATAAAGGCGTGTTTAAATATTAATCTTATGGTCTATATATCAACATAAAACGTGAAGTAATTAGCGAAATATCATCGTAACAACAGCTGTTTTAGAAACATCTAAATTTACTTATTTCGCTGAGATTTATGAAAAAAAAGTCCTTTGCCTCGTGTACAGATACCGCCACGTTTTGGAAATAGTTCAAAACTAAACAAAATTGAACGAGGCAACAGAAAACACCAAAGAAAAAATCCATCCACGCCCTCTTCACGAGTAGTTTTAATACCCTATTTTTAATTTTATTTTTATATTCTACGTAAAATTTTATATTTTTTTATGTATAAGGTTATATACGTAATATTAGTAGTTTTCAGTAAAATACCGCTGATTAAACTCGACCAACTAGTGTCGACAATATGAGAGAAATAATTGTAGCTGATTTTCGAAGTAGAACTCCACATATACCTTTTAAAATGAAAAGATCGTTTGAAAAGAGAATCATTTTACGCAGTGAACAGGAAAGGAAGTATTTCGAGCATATGATTTCATCTAGCTAATTTTTGTCACATAATTATACATTTATATGTTAGTTTTAATTCTGTAATAATTAAAATATGTTTTAAAAGTGTATTCTTTTTATAACTGTTGAGTATTTTACTCTACATCCTTTAATTTTTGTTAAACTAACAAAAGGTATATCACAGCCACCTAGTTTTTTTTTCAAATAATAAAAAACTACTGACGCAAAGTCATAATAATTAAAATATCTAGGAAAATCTTTGTCTGAGGGGTAGGAATTCCCCATTAAACATCGGAATAATATACTGGGTGTTCCATTTATAATAAAGGAGTAACTTGCTATTAAAAGTGACCACTGTTCCATATTAGTTTTGCCTCAACCTGAATAACTTTTCGGGTCAAATTTTAATTTAGTTTAACATACAATGGTTATTGTAATTAAATATCAAGCTATACAGGGTAATTCAAAATTTAGGTAGCTGTTATTGAAATTTAAAATTTACTCTTTATTTTTACAAAATGTGAAATATGTCAAAATCGTTACACGTTTTAACATATGTTTTTTAATAAAATTCACCTTTATTTTTTTCCTATAAGCCAAAAATTAATTAATATACATATGCTCCCAAAATCTCATTTCCATATAAACTACCGTTCTTGTATGTGAGGCGCCACACTGTATAAATACTTCACATTTACAGTAAAACGAAGAGTGTAAAAAACAATATGAGGTATGCAATTTAAGTTGGGATTATTTTTGGTCTTATAGCAGATATTTACAGACATCTAGAAGACACCAAAACACTTGCCTAGAACTTAAAATTAAAGAGCTTAAAGTGTTTATTGTAGTCGTGGCATTGAAGGTTAATTAAGTTTCCTTGTAATGTGTGCTTACCTCAACGAGATCTTCTTTCTTCTTCTAAAGGTTTATTCAAACATGTTATTCATATCTCTTAGTCCCCTTCAGTCAACCTCTGTGACAGATTTTCATACATATCCGTCAGAAATCGATTCTAGTTAGTTTTAGTGGTTTTCTTGAAAACTGATTGATGATTAATTTTACAGACAACAAAATCAACTATGATTACTGTAACAATTGATGAAAAAAATGATCCTGTATACGTAGTGGTAACGTGAATTAGAATTAGATGAGCATATTACTGAATTATTTTAAAATTTGAGCTATATAATAGGTTAAGGAATAATGATGTATTCGATCAGTCTAAATCAACCAATTTGAGACACACATGGAGTTAAAATCATAGAGGGAGATTAAAAAAATGTTTTTATCAATGCTTCTACTAAAGAAACCTGAAGAATTGGATATGATAATACCGGGTGTTTCTCAAAAGTGGCTCACTCCTATAACTTTTATATGTTTTCAGGTAAAAAGACGATATTTGGTATATTAGTATATGACATAAATTAGGATTGATTGACGTATTCAGTTGTTTTCGGTCACTTCCTGTTTCACCGAAAATGACTATTACTTTTTATTTTTAAATGGCACCCAGGGTTCGGAAATTTACATGTTACTCTTAAAAACTACATAAACTACATTACATGTAGTTAATGTAGTTTATGTAGAGGGTGTAGTTTATGTAACCTAAGTATGTAACTTTTAAATATCAAAGGTTTGAGGCAGGTTTGAGGTGAGATTATAATAAGTTGAAGCTAGAAAACACATAATGTGTCTAAATATTTTGAGTTTTCGTATTTTATAATAATTTTAATATATTGTGTTATTCATTAAATTCTGTTCTTTTATGATTTGGTAATTCTTTAATTACATAAAAAGCCTATGCATTACATGTTCCTATCAAAATGAAATTTTTTATTTATAGTATGTTTTTTTATCATAATATCAATACGTAGTTCATTAACGTAGATTTCATGTAGTTAATGAACGGGAAAAGACGTAATTTTTGAAGAAAAACTACACGTAGTTAAACAGGTAAATTACCTTTTATTTAACTACTTCCGAACCCTGAATTGGCACCCTCGGTATTTTTTTACTTTATTCGATAGAAAATGACACTCTGAATAGAATGACATATCATAATATGTCAGCTTTTAACATTCCCGCTTAAAAAAAATCGTATTTTAAATTTCAATCTAGAGTGCCATGGCTGTGTTAAAAACATTACTTTTTAATCAAGGAGCCTTAGGGAAGTAAATAAATACCAAGGGCGTCATTTATAAATCAAAATTTGTATTATTTTCCTGTGGAAAAGGAAGTGACCAAAAAGAATTGAATACGTCAATCAATACTAATTTATGTCATATACTAATACACCAAAACTCGTTTTTTTTATCTGGAAAAAATAAAAAAGTTATAAGGGTGAGCCACTTTTGAGACGCACCCGGTATAGTATCCTACCACAGATTATACCGATTATAATCTTTGTTTTTTCTTTATTGTTTTTCGTGGTTCCAATTTTCGGAATCGGGCACTAGTTAGGTGACTAGTTTGCGCACATAGCACGCCCACTTATGGCCTCTAAAATTGTGCACAGCGCCTGACCGGCACAGCTATTAGAGAGATATCGGAAAACTGAATAGCGTCATTCAGTATTTACGCGTACCTTATCATGGTTACGATATGCGCGAGTCAATTTTTAACGCAACACCCGCTAATAACGTTACCGCCTGACGTAATTTGCGGATCAATTACGCCAGGCGCTCTTTCTAAATAACCTCTGATAACGTTTAAAAATTGCTTAAATGGGCATGTGCGGGTATTTGACAACCGGAGCCGGCCGGCGAGATCTTTTATTTTAGGTTATGTTTGAATTGTTTTGAATTTAGTTTTATTAGGTAATTTGATATTTAATTAGCTGGGATTAGTTTTAATTAAATAAATATGGCTTAAAATATGGATTCCACCTCTTCCAATACTAAAGAACCTATAAAGAGTCTTAGATTTACAGCAGATGACGACTTAGCCCTTCTAAGAGAATTTGTTGCTTGTTGCCCTAAACCCACTGGCAGACGTTGAACAATAAAGCACTGGAAATAAGCACTTCAGCCCTTTAGTTTTAAAATACCTAGTAAACAAAACAATTTCAAAGTTTTAAATTCAAAGTTAGGTTAAGTTTAAATAGCGGACGCGACGCGATCAGAATTCTTTCCGATCTGATAACTATAAATGAAGAGAATTAATACTACCTCACGTAAAGGAAATAACACCTGGCCTTATTAACGTCCATGCACGCTATTGAGTTTAGCGATATCTCTCTATTACGCTGTTTATTGTTATTTTACGCGAGTTTATTTTTGCGCACAGGAAATTTGACTCGTTTGCACATCGTCATAAAAAACAATTTTCGTGCCACGAATTAGGGACAAGATTTTTATCTGTATACATATAGGATACCTAATCTGTGATCCTACAAATATAGTATAGGTAATATAGTTTATATCCAAACTAATAAAAAAATTAACGAAAATGTTTATATTACAAAATTATACATCAAAACTAATTTATTAATTGATTAAAACATTAAAACATTAAGTTGGAGCAACCTCAATTTATTTTGATTGAATTGTCGAGATCTCGAAACTATTTTCATAACTATGACTGATTATATCCCACCCAACAAAAAACCCCGCCTAAAAATAAATTGAAAATATATAAATCACACCTGTATTACGCTTATTAAAGCTGACACACCTTTGCGAATAGTTTTCGGGAAAAATAAAACAAAAATTCTGATTCATCGGAACGCTGAGGACTCTTCCAACTATGTGACAGTTGTTTAAAATTCATTACATAAAATATAAATAAATATACACACACCGACTATGTTTTGGCCCTGTACCAACACACTCACAACTCGGGCACTTTAAATTTAAATCGCAATCTTTACCTCAAGAACATATTCCATTGAAAGTTTGACCGTCTAATATCCAGGTTAAAATAGTACAAATTTCTTGTTTTAAGTGTATTAAATTAAACGTAAGTTTTTATGTATTTATTAATTTAAAATTACTTTGTGTTTTATATCTCTATTTTCTGTGCACGATAATATTTTTTAATGTAGAATGACAAGGAATGATGCGTTTTAAAATGTTGTTTTCATGTTTTGGATATTTTCCATACACAATCCAAAACTATAAAATATTAATATGTTTATTAAAGGGTATTAAAAATATGTTTGTAAATATTTGTAGATTTAAATGATATTTTCATTGCAAAATATATGCTTATTTTTAGAATTTTAAGTTCTTTTATACTAGATTACAAAATTCTTTTTCAAAAGCCACATTCAGAACCACGAAATTAGTGGAATAAATTAGTGGTTTCAACTATATTTCATATTTAAAAGTTTAAGGTCATTAGATTTAAGATCAAAAACTACTTTACTCGCAAATTTTGAAGTATAATTATTGGCTAAATTTAAAAGCTTTTTTACTACATTGAAAATTAGTACAACTAATTTTGTCGTTCTGAATATTTACACTGAAATTAGAGGAACAAACTTCAACGTTAATAATTAAAAACACAAATTTGTGTAAAAGTAAAAGTGTTTTGGTGTATTGTGGTGATTTAGTGTTTTATTTTTTTTAAGTGCAAATATTTTCAGGGCTGGTAAATATCGATAAAAGAAACATATTTCTAGCTAAAATTTGAGCGCCACTGGATCTTTTCTGGATTTTTTTTCTTATAAATTTAATCTACTACCTATGTTGCTATATTATCAAGAAATTATGTTTTTTAACTAAAAACTAAAAGAAATCCCAATAAATTTTCCCCAAAAAAATCCAAATTTTGCAGAAAAAAATTTTTGTGAAAAAATAAAAAAATAACTTATTTTACTTTAAAAATAATAATAATAGCTCCCGTATATAGCGTTTAACGCCTTGGGAGTAGCAAGGTACAGCTTGCCATGCTAGAGCCGTTGGGTATACAAGGAAGATAATGTGGCTAGCATTACGCTTCAACCGCCTATTATTACCTCAGGATTGTGAATCACAAGTACTCATTTAAGGTTGAGTCGACCTAGGTACCCAAACTATTTTTATTTTAATAAAAAAATCGGCTGATGAAATCCCGAGTGTAGGATTCGAACCCACAACCTTGAGATTGGTAGACGAGAGCCTGTACCTCTACGCCACCGGACACCTACTTTAAAAATTAAAAAAAAAATTTGGTTAAGTTCTGAGAACCACTGGATTCTATCTGGGTTTTCTTTCTTGTAAATTTAATCTACTATTTGTGTTGCCATTTTATGTTTTTCAACTAAAAATTTAAAATATTTCCAAAAATCTGTTGTCGAAAAAAAACCTCATAAACGTGTTTCTGGGATCAAAATATACTACCTCTAAAATATTTGCACTTATTTAAGGCTCATCCTGTATTTATACAGGGTGTCCCAAAAATAAGTGTCAAATATTTTAAGGGGTGGCAGATCTGACCAAAAGAAATATTTTTTCTCTTTACCGTTTTTCAAATAAGTCCAAAATAACCGAGTTATTTTATTTTGAAAATTTCCCAAAAAAGATCATTTTTTGCTAACATTTTGAGAACCACTGGATATTTTCTGGATTTTCTTTCATGTAAATTTAAGCTACTACCTATGTTGCCATATTATCAAGAAATTATGTTTTTTTAAGTTAAAATTAAAAAAAATTCGAAATATTCAATTTTTTTTGCAAAAAATACCTCATGGGTGTATTTCTGAGGCCGAAATATTTACACTTATTTTAAAATATTTGCACTTATTTTTGGGACACCCTGTATAATACAAAAGTGTAAAAAATATTAATATATTTAGTATCCAGTATTAAAATAAATTGGTAAATATTTGTAAAATAGTAAAAGTATCGTTTCTATTGCAATTTATGCTTATTTTTAGAAATTTGCGGTCTTTTATACACCAGATTAGGTGGTTTAGGATTATAAGTTAGTAGTCCAATGAAATTAAAAAGCAATGTATCATCCAGAACTGTCAAAAAGTTTCCCGCTTCTAAATATAAACCTAATATAACATTAACAACTTCTGAACATTTTAAGTGAGAAAAAAACAGGCTGGGTTTTACCTTTTTCGGCACATATGCTGGTTGATTTTTTCTAATCTAATAAAGTTTGATGGATTATTCCGATATGTCAATAAAAATGACATCCAGAAAATATATTACATCTGTGGAGAAAGTAATGAACCAACACACTTATGTACATTTTTATTTTTGTTGTTAAATATTTTTTATATATTATTTGGTTTATATCTTAAAACGAGGAATTAGGTATACTAAGAAGTTTTGCTGTTAAATGTTCCCTCAACTGTAGTAAATACATTATTTAAACTTAGTTTCAAAAAGGCGATAAGTGTCATTCGATAGTTTAAATTACATTTTATTGATGGACTCGGATACACCAAATATACAGGGTGAGTCTTAAATAAATACAAATATTTTTAGGGGTGATATATCTCAAACCTATGAACTCGTCTGTTTTTTTTTGTAAAAAAATGTTAAAAATCATACATTTTCTGTAATGTGTGTCAATTCCTGTATATTTTAGAAAACTTTTTAGAATTGCCTGTTCACCGCAAATTTTCCAACGGTATAATTTCTTAATCTTGGATAGTACCATGGTTACAGCACTAAAAAGGATGCAAATACAGAAAAAAATTCGGTGACTAAAACTTTTTTAAAAATAAATATATTTTTTTTAATTTTAAACTCTAATTACTCGGTTATTTTGGACTTATTTGAAAAGCGGTAAAGAGAAAATATGTCTCTTTTATCTACCAGCCCTGAAAATATTTGCACTTATTTAAGACGCACCCTGTATAATTTTTATGAACGGAATATTAAAAATAATAACCATTAATAAAACGATAGAATTATACAATTATTTTTATGTAACATATGATATTATGAAACTATGACCACATATAACTATGATATATCTGAAGAGACATATTCAAATGTTTCACCCGGAGTGCTAAAAACAAGTTATACCACACATCACAGATCATATATTTTGGCTTTATTTAAACTACTTTAAGAACTGAGATATAGAAGAGAACATAATATGATTTTTATAATGTTTTAGACGTCTAATCATTGAATTGATAATTATTATATATAGTAACTAATATAAAGACCTATTTTTTTAAGTAATTTTATTGTTTCTAAATTTTTAGAAAAATGCCTTTAGCCCTAAAATACGACCCTGTATTCGGTAGAGACTACTCTTATCTCGACGAGTACCGATACACACCTGATTATAGAGTACGAAAACCACTCGACTATTATTTTAATTGGCCATGGAGCTATCGCTATTGGTTCCAAAACCAGAGAGACCGCAGGCAATTGTATAAGCTTCTTCGTGTGAGTATTTTTAAAATAAATATGAAATGAGTACCAGGCCTCAAAAAATTGTGATAAATATTTTTAATTTATAAATTGTATTCTCTAATAAGTGTAATATATTTTTTTAATAATTATAAAAGATGTATCATATCTCAAACAATTGTGATTTTTTATCATTTGTCAGTATAATTTTTCCAACGAATATTGCTAATTTAACTTACATATATAAATATTTCACAACAGAAACTTAACTACACAATATATTAACATATAACAACAAAAATATGATTGATTTAAAGTAGAAAATTATACTGTTTGTACTAGTAACAAGAAAAAATAATTTTTTATTTATCTTATAAAAATTATGAAAGAAAGACATAAAGGATGTAGAAACTACAGAAATAGATGCTTGTTTGATGTTAGTAACTTACAGTTATCAACAGTTTTTGATATAAATATTGTTTTCAGCAAATGTATACAGTTATTAATGGATTAAAATTATTCTAGCAGCGATTAAATATTATTATTGATATAATTATTATTTTAATTATATATTTTTATATATTTATCTGCAATATACTTCTGAAGTAATTTCTCTCGAATAAAACAGAAAAAATATCAGGAGATCTCTTGAACTTTATTCCATAGATCTTCTGTTGAATTAAAACTAATATTTTCTGTTTTATATTTAAAGTTAAAATCATGTGGTAATTTAAAATCACTTGCCTCTGTAGAGCATTTCATTTAAATTATGAAATAAATACAAATACAATTTTTTAAAATTTTCATTGGATATATTTTACGTTTCAAACTTTAAGAAAGGTAACTTTCTAGTATATTTTCAATATCTAATGTTTCTATGTATTTATCCAACTTTTTGAGGTAACCTTTTGTAAAGATTAAGTTTTTAAGTATATACAAAACGCATATTCAATATATTTTTTTGTTTTTTTTTAGCTGAGGGAACTCACATACATTGCCCAATAAGCCAACGAAATAAAGTCTCAAGAAATTTGATTAAATTATTATTAATGCAATATAAATAAAATATATTTTTGTTATTTTTCTCTAATAAATGAAATAATAATAATTAATGTTGTTTATAATTATTTCGATTTCTTCATGGCCAAATAAAATATATGGTTAAGTACCTTACTACATAATTAATAAAACACTTATTATACAGGGTGGTCTGAATCGTATTCGGGGAACTTCGACAGGCATATTCTGCTGATAAAAATAAGTTAAGAAATTTGTGTAAATTGTTGTTCTAGAATGCTTAGTTTCAAGGATACTGGCTTTAGAAGTTTTATTTTTGTTTCGATTTTTTCCAAATAATTTCTGAAATAACGTAGATGAACATTGCTGTCTGCGCGTTTTTTGACATTAGAAAATTTCTATGTTAATGGGACTTAATTGAACTTTTTCTAGAATAAATTATAATAAAATAGTTTCTGTTGAACCTTCGACACAAAAACATTTCCAAATTTATTATTATAGTTTAATAATTACCTAGTCAACCGGTTTAGTATTTGTCAAGGATGAAATGTATTGATTATTTTGATTTTAAATATATTGAAATCATAACTGACAGCGGTTTTTACCAAGAGACCATTTTTATGTCAAAAAATGGAAAAACGTATATTTTTTTACTTAGTAGAGTAATACAGGGACGAACAAAATGTTATTACTTTTCAAAACATTTAAAAAATATGAATTCTTGATACCAATTAATCTTTTAGTTACGTAATCGGGGGCGCGATTTTTAAATTCATTGTTGCCAACCATGGACATATTCGGCGCCGGACTGACTAACTGGAACTTATATTTCCCGCTTGGGATTCTACTCTAAAAAATGTCAAGTTGCCACATTTATTTATTTATTTCCTGACATTCTCATTCGTTTTGACACTTTAGTTTTGTATTACGAATGATTATGAGTTTTTGGTTTAAATGAGTTGTAATACTTTAAACTTAAAAATGTTTACTAAACCTTGCAGTCGAACATTGTTCTTTTTAGAACCTCTTTTAGTCCGAAGTGTACAAGATAACTTAATAGCCGTAAAAAACTCATCGTAACTTTTTTAAAAATTTGAACGGGAAAGCGGTAGTAATGGCCTTTATGTGCCTTAAGTGCTGTTAAGAATGTGAGTTTTGTTGATGTAAATAATAATTGTTTATATGTTTATAATTAATTTATTTTTGTTTCCTAAAATATTTTGATTAAAGGAAAATATATAAAAAAGGGCAACGCTGTGCCGGTCAGGCTTAATTAATCATGTGATTAAAATTTTATTTGGTGTGAACTAAGTTGGAGTCATACTGGTATTGAAATCGAATGTCAAAAAGCACCCAAACACCAATTTTTATCCAAAAATAAGCATTATTTAGAAAAAAACAAAATAAAAATGAAACGTTTACACCCTGTATCTTGAAAAGGGAGCATTTTAGGACATGATTTTATACAAATTTTTTGACTTATTTTTATCTGCAGAATACGTTGCCGAAGTTATTCGATTATAATTCTTACCACCTTAGATTAGATTCTTAGAGGTGGCTTTCGGCCTGATCCACTGCGACCTTCTCAGATCTATTGTGGTCCTCTTCTGATCCTTAGATTACATTCTCCAGTCCTATCCATTTAACAAAGTTTAGCAACTTGGAGACTGAACCCTCCATGTAGCTCCTTGGCAATGGCCTATCATTGCCTATTACCGGGAACCGCACATTTGCCAGGCTGTCATACCGACATAAAATGTGTTCTGACGTTTCTTCTTCAGATTGACAGAACCTACACATAGCTTCGTCTGTCAATCCCATCAGCTTTAGATGCCTATTTAGCTTACAATGCCCTGTTAGTAGACCTACTACAGCTTTGACTGTCTTTCTGTCCTTGCTTATCAAGTCTACCGTGAATTTTGGTGAATGTTCTACAATGAACCTTTTCGCCTGTCTCTGCCCTGGTGAGTTTATCCACCATTCTAGAGATTTGTTGGCCACCCATCGCTCCGTGGCCATTCTCATGACCGCCTTTGCAACGCCGCAGAAGGGTTCTGGGCCTATGAATGGCATTGATGAGCCTTGCTTGGCCCTTTCATCTGCCTTTTCGTTACACTTGTGACCCTCGTTCCCTGGCACCCAGGCCAACGTAACAGTGCTACGTTCGCCCAAAGTATTCAGAGCACGCACACAGTCCCCCACTAGTCTAGAATTGACCTCCGTGGAGCTGAGTGCCTTTAGCGCCGCTTGGCTGTCTGTGAAGATCGCCACAGAACGATTTGTTCTTTGTTGCCTTATTATTTCTTCTACACAATAGTGGATTGCCGTTATTTCTGCCTGGAAAATTGTGACATCCTTGGATAGGCTTACGTGGAAGGATCTCCCTTGTTTCGGTCCTACTATCTCAGCTTCTACGCCTTCTGACGTTTTTGAGCATACCAGGTTGCCTCAGCTTGAATGGGTACACCTTTACTCCAGTCTTCCCTTCCTGGTATGGTTATATTAAATTTGTTGTTGAAGCTATACCTAGTAGCTGTTGCATCAATTGGCAATCCCAATACTTTGTCTGCTTTTAGCTCTTCGATTAGCTTCTGGTTAGCAGCACTATGCGTTTGGCTTATGTGCTGCTGACCGTGAATTAACCTGTGCATGACAGATCTGGCTTCGCCTTGTATGAAAATATGTAGTGGTGGTAAGTTCAACAAGACTTCCATCGCATTTGTAGGAGTGGTTTTTATGGCCCCAGTTACACACAGACACGCAAGCCTTTGTGTGGAACTTAACAGCCTTACCGCACCCACTTGCGATGTCTTTGTCCACCACGCCACCGACCCGTAGGTTATCATGGGTCTTACTACCCTTGTGTATAGCCATAGAGTCATTTTAGGGTTAAGTCCCCAGTTTTTTCCACACATCCTTCTGCACCTACCTAAAGAGATGGCAGCCCTCTGTGTTGCTTTCGCTATGTGAGTATTCCATGTAAGCCTTTGATCAAAAAATATCCCAAGATACTTTGTTTCTTTGGCAAATGAAATCTCCGTTTCTCCTAGCACTGGTGGTTTTAGGCCTTTTGGTGCTATCTTTTTTGTAAAATTGACAATTTGTGTTTTCTGAGCATTGACTGTCAGTCTCTCTTGTTTGCACCACTTGTCAACTTTGTTTAGGGCTGTCTGCATTCTTTCTGATATCATACCAGCAAACTTGCCCCTGACCACAATTACGATGTCGTCTGCATATCCTAGGCAATAAAAACCTTGTGTGGACAGTTCGTTGAGGAGGTCATCTACCAAGGTTGCCCAAAGTAGAGGAGATAACACTCCTCCCTGTGGACAACCTCCACCCGCTACTGCTTTGATAGTAGCTTGCCCTAGAGTGGAAATCACTATCCTGTTTTCTAAGGCGGCCCTTATCCATCTACATACCACTGCAGGTGTACCTCTTCTACTCATTGCATTTACTAGTGAGTCGGTAGTAGCATTATTGAATGCTCCCTCAATATCTAAAAAAGCGGCCATTGCTATTTCTTTGTCCTCTATCGACTTTGAAATAAGCCTATTTAAATCATCTAATGCAGCATCCGTGGATTTACCTGGTTGGTATGCATATTGACGATTGCTTAGGGGACTATCCCTTAGCACTTCGTCCCTTAAAAACCTATCCAAGAGCCTCTCTAGCGTTTTCAGTAGGAAGGAGGATAGGCTTATCGGTCTATATGACTTTGGTGTAAAGTCCGATACCTTGCCTTGATTCTTACCACCTTGTATATTAAAACATTCTTTCTTAAAAAAAATAATTCAATCAAAACAGATCTTTTAAAAATAGAAACAAAACAGAGAAATGAATCAAAAAATTCTCTGACAAATGTGTTATTATAATGCCCGGAATTTTTTGAATAATAAGTAAACGTATCCTGGCACTATTCCAAAACAAAGCGAACATTGAGAAAATTTAAGCGAAACTCGAAAACATTCATTTGGTTTGTTCGGTGGTGTGTGGTTATTCAACAGACACAAAAAGTAAGTACAACCTTTTATTTTTCAATTATTTAACTTGTTTAGAAAGCCAATTTAATCATACGTCTTTAATTAAAACATTTCTCCAGGATTTTCAAGTTTAAACTCCAAATATAATTACTAATCCGTGTTTAATTAACTAGTTAAAATATTAAAATTAATGTTTAAGCTTTTTAAACTCTCTATTAGCCAATTAAATATTTCCCGGAAATAAATTAGTTTTAATTAAAACGGTTATTTCATAAAAAATAAACTTTATAAAATGTTAGTGAGTAATGTGAGCTGTGTTTATTTTTAGCAATGCTTAAAGCCAGGTACAACCCCGTGTATGGAAACGAATATTACTTGGGGGATACTAGATCTATACCTGACTATAGAATCCATAGGTCTTACAATTTCTACGATTTCTGGCCTTACAGACTAAAAATCACTTACAGGAATAGACCATTCAGAAGATGGCTGACCACTCCAAGTTTAGTAAGTATACAATTATTCTTATTAGTTCTTTTTTTTATTCAGGGTGAGTCTTAAATAAGTGCAAATATTTTTAGAGGTATTATATTTCGACTCCAGAAACACGATCATAAGTTTTTTTTCGCAAAAAAAAAATTGGAATTTTTGAAATTTTTTTTTTAATTTTCAGTTAAAAAACATACTTTCTTGATAATATGGTAACATAGGTAGTAGATTAAATTTACAAGAAAGAAAATCCACAAAAGATCTAGTGGTTCTCAAAATTTAAGCAAAAACATATTTTTTTGGAAATTTTCAAAGTAAAATAACTTGGTTATTTTGGATTTATTTGAAAAACGGTAATGAAAAGATAGGTTTCTTTTATCGTAATCTACCAGTCCTAAAAATATCTGCACTAGTTCAAAACTCACCCTGTATAAGCGAACTATTGTATATACAGTTTATACTTTTTGTATATAAGTTTTACTTTTCATTTAAATTTTTTTAGCATATTACTTTAGTATTTTAATTCAATTTTTTTTAATAAAAGTTTTAATAAATATGAATCTAAAATAATAATTGTATTAAAAATAATTTTTAAAATAACAAAAAAAAACATATTTTGCATTTAATTTTATCAAGTTATAATTTGTTTTTATTACTTAAAACAAATTATAAATAAAATAAATTGTTTGTACTGTAAAAATTTCATCACACAACGTGATATTTATTTTTATTACCTGCAATTTGGAAGACCAAAAATATTCAATTTAAAACAGTTCTATATTTATTTGCTCAACAAATAAACAATGTAAATAACATTTAATTTCTTTTCTATCAATAAAATGTTAATCCATTAGCTTTAATAAATCCAGTAAAAAAAATAACAAATATTCAATATGTTACAGCAATTAAGAAATAATAAAATAAAAATGAATATTTTTTTTATGTTTGAACACTTTATTATATAATTAAAAAGTATAAATAGAACAATCTAAGTTTAGTAGGTAACTATTTATTTATAACAATTGCTAAATTGTTATAAATTACCTTTCGATTATTCTGTTTAATTCATTGTCTTTTTTTGTTACAGTTTAGACAAAACTTATATTCGAACGAAAGCAGTTTAGTGACATCGAGTTCCAGCGTATCCAGATACAGCTCTTATTAGACATTATAGGAAATTAAATAAAATGTAAACTTTTTGTTAATGTATTCATTTACACGTTATACTACTTAAAATTTTGTCAATGTTAACTTTTATAAAACGTATATTTTTTTAAAATAAACTCATTATTAAATATTAGTTTTGTTATTTATTTATGCTACACCTTATAAGAGTATTCTATAGTTCATTGATCGATGGTTTTAATTTATTACTATAATATAAAGTTTGACATTAGTTTCATTTCTTATCCTAAATTGTTTAATACAATATTTATATTTATGATTTTTTGATGGTTTGATTAATCAGCAATATACAGAATTTCTAGAGAACTACTAGATCGAAGATTTTTTGGACATTCTTGTTTCACAACGAGATATATCGATTAAAAATATTTTCAATATGGCTGCACTTCTGGAAACACCGAAAGTTGACAGCAACTTTCTTATTTCGAAAGAGGTACCACCATTTTTATTACATATTTAAATTCACTGTAAAATTTTATGAATTTTGATATTGAACACTGTATATCTAACATTAATCGTTTTTGAGAAAAATATTATTATACATTTTTGGACGAAAAAATCTGCCTATAAAAAATTGTATAGCCTAAACGTCAAATTTAATGATTACCTACCACAGCCACTGTCGCATATAGAAAAATACATGTGGCTATCTAATTCAAAAATTAAATTTTTCGAATGTCATATTATATTGGTCGTAGTTGTCATGGATATGAGCTAATAAAAAATTATCATAAATCATTTTTTTCAGGTAGAAATCCATTTTTTATTTCACTAGCGAAAAGGATATTCAATTAGTTATTTTTTTATTGTACCTACATATTACTTACTATACATTAAATTACAGTTTTAAAGCGTCCTATATTTTTTTAGATTTTAACCAGTAGCCTATGACTTTAAACGCCAAGTAATATAAAACAACATATCTGGCCATGTCATATTGTGACACTTTGATAAAAAATCAGTTCTTTGTCATTTCCAAGCCAACTTTGCGCTGTTTTCTTTTGATCTTATCGATATTATTAATAAATATCAGCTATTAGATGTCATTAAAGAGTGAAAATACGAGATATATTTTTATAAATACACTCATAAAGTTTTAAGCAGGCAGTATTTATAATACCGTATGATCAAAAATAAACGGCGCGCGGCGTCAACGATGGCTATGAAATGAAGATCGCTGTCATTTTATATGTAAAATTATATGAGGAATGTCACTGATTGAGATTTCCAAGCCAACTGGACGCTGATTTTTTTCGACCATACGGTACGAAATTCAAAGAAATAGTTTTCTGACAAAAAGGAAATAAATAATTGTCTGATTGGCTAAATGTCAAAAAGGAAGCTTGATAAATGAAGAAAAATATACGCTTTAAAACTAAATGTTAAATAACTTAACTAGTAACGTTAAGATTTTTATTTTATTTTTGTTATTTTATTAATATTTGGGAATGTCTCACCCAACTACAATCTTTAAACAGAACTATGTTTATATGAAATATTTAATAATTAAGAAAAACAAATATCTTTGAAATGAAATAAATTTTACTCACTGACTTACTAACCCATTCAAAATTTTTACAAGTACTTAAAAATTATTCAGATTAAGTACTCTCAAAACATCAAGGATATTAAACAAATATGGCATAAATGTATCTATATTCACAAATAAAACTGCCATAAAGGTATGACATTAAAAACTAGAGATTCTTCTAAAATAAATCTATAATATTAACGTATAATCGAAAAAAAGGCGTCAAAGATGGCTGGAGAATGACCATCGATGATAATTTTGGTGAGGTTATTCTCTAGACTAAAAATTGACATAACACTTGTAAAAAAATTAACACTAGTTATAGAAAGATTAAAAAAGAATAGAACATTTCAAGACACACAAATCTGTTAACAAAAAATTATTTTTTCTCGAAATTTTCTGAAACTACACCATTTGAAAATAATTTTTACTCAATATAAAAATAATACTGGTAGTGATAAGCACGGGTAAAGTAAAGGATGTCTAGGGCTTGACCTCGCCAAAATGATGAGAGATTGTCATTCTCCAGCCGTCTTTGACGCCGTTTTTCTTTATTGTATGAATAGTTAATTATTTGAACATTTACTACGTATTGGACAAAAACTGGTCTATGTATATCAGCAACTGAAGGTATTACAAAATTATGCGAGCCAGAAATTGGATTAATTACTGTTAAATGGGTTACATGTTTACCAATTACTCGAGATTTATTCATCTTAATTAGCGTTCACTTTTTACCTAATTATCGATTACACACTTGGTTGAATAAAGAGAAGTATACACCATCGCATTACACACACAGACACACTACGAAAATCTTGGGAATCTGCCAATCAACGATTTTTCAATGGCGCAAAATATCTCAAATGGTGACTCGCACCACAACACCTGAAATCTTGATGACGAACGAACGCTTTGTTTTGAAAATTTTCGCTTAGTGAAACCTTATTAAGTTTTTCGAGTTTATTTCGATCGTATAAAATCATTGTAAGTATTGAGTTTCAGTTATTGGACATCTGGTAAAAGTGCTTTTGATGTTAGATATTTTTAAAAATACCCAATTTCTATTTATAAATAATTATTTGTTTATATTTGGCATGTTTCTGAAGCGGTAATAAGCAAATTAATTTAAATATTCTTTATGAATTCTGTAGTTATATTACATTAAAAATTAAAACTATTTAAAATAGCTGGAATACTTGTGTACTTGTTTAGAAATGACAACAGATGACATTTATCATATAAATTTATTTAAAGAAGTAGACAATTTTGTGATATAATCGCACTTTTTATACATTAAATGAGAATGATTACTATTAACATTATTCATATGGTTATTTGAACATAATTCTTACACACAATTATATCGACATCAATATAAAGCACTTTTATCAATATACAGGGTGAGTCTTAAATGAGTTGAAATATTTTCAGGGCTGGTAGATATCGATAAAAGAAACATATTTTCTCTTTACCGTTTTTGAAATAAGTTCAAAATAACCTAGTTATTTTACTTTTTTTTAGCAAAAAAAAAATATTTTTTGCTCAAATTTTGAGAACCAACGTATCTTTTCTGGGTTTTCTTTCTTGTAAATTTAATCAACTACTTATGTTTGTTATATTATCAAGAAACTATGGTTTTTAACAAAAAGCCGACAAATTCGAAGTCGAAATATACTACCCCTAAAAATATTTGCACTTATTTAAGATTCGCCCTGTATATTAGGCATTTATGTGTAAACAATAACAGGTAAACTATTTCCATTGCAGAAAAATGCTTGGTTTACAATACACCCCACGACACGGCATTATCGACTACGATTGCTGGCCCAGTTCTAAATATGTATCCATTGATATTCCCGATTATAGAATTACAAAGCCTCTTGACTATTACGACAGCTGGCCTAGATATTGGCCTATCTACTACCCTATCAGATCCTTCAGAACATATTTGAACAATCTGCTCTTAAGAGACTTACGTGTAAGTTACAATTATTCTACAGTATACCCCAGGAGTGTCTTTACCAGTGGAAAAACTTTTTTATTATTTACGTTTTGAGAAAAATTCATTGTTCAAAACATTTTTTTTTCTTTTTCTAAAATGGTTAATCCCGTTGATACTTTTAGAAATATTCTTACCGTTTTAGAGAAAATTAAGAAAAAAAAAGAGGCTTTTTTAATTCAATCTAATAAAAATAAATGTATTGCTCATGCATCTGTAGATGTTAGTAATGTATGGCAATCGCTTCTTTCATTTTAAAGAACATTACATAAATAAACATAACATACGTAAAATTTAAAAATAATCATACAGAAAGTTTGGGCTTTTTGGTTTTACCTTATTAAGTGATTATCAGGTAGTAATTGTTAATTTTGAAGTTTAACTTAATATAATGTCATTTTAACAGAACGTCAACGATTTCTTGTAGACGTATCTGTTTTAAAAAGTAAAGTGTTCTCGAATAGTTCAATTTAAATATTTTAAATAGTTTTTTTCTTGATTCTTTATATTTTTTTTTGCTTCCGACGACGGAAAGAGAAAACTTTCCGAAACGTTAAGCATTTCTTTCTTTGTCAGGCAAATTTTTATTACTGTAAACACAACTTCTGACAAGCAGCGTCCGTTTAGGTCTAACGCAGAAGTGTTTACAAAAAATAACTATTTTATTTTGTAGATTTTTCTTGCAGTGCAGTGGCGAAAAACCCATAAGGATTTTTTTGGATAGATGAAAATATGGTTGAATTTTTTTTGAAGTCCTAAAAATCAAAAGTCGTCTATGGTAATATAATTTAGATTTCATTCTTTGATAGACGGTTTTTATTAATTTTAACTAAAGTCATATTTTTTGCTGTTGCTAAAGTACCACATTTTTCAATAACTATTATCATCCTTTCCCTAGCATTGAACTTAATAAATTTGTTTCTTTAACCATTCTTTAATATTTTAAAACCGCAAAAATATGACGTTAATTAAAATTTTACCAATAACCATCTATGAAAGGATGAAAAGGAAATTACATTACCATAGGAATGCGTTTTTATTTTTCAGGACTTTCAAAAATTCAACGATATTTTCATGTTTTTTTTAATGTTCTCTAAAACGGTATAGAAATTTAGAAAAGTATAAACGGAATTAACCATTTAAGAACAAGCAAAATTTTTTATGAAGTATGCATTTTTTCTCAAAATGCCAATAATAAAAAAGTTTTTTCTCTTGCAAAGACAATACTGTATAACACATACTTATAAAAACTTAATTTGAAACTATATGTAAAATTAACTTTGATTCATTTTGTAGTTGAGAGAGCAACAATATGTTCATACCTACTGGTAATAAATAATCCTGGAAAATATTTACCTGACTGATAACGATACGGAGAGAAAATTATTTTATTTTGTTATGCTTTAATATATGTTTTAATAAATTGTAACTGAATAATATAATATATTTTGTTTATTAAAAATTTTAGTACGTTTTTTTCTTATATTGTTTATTGTTTTTTTACATATTAATGTCAGTTATTAATTTCTCTGTTAATAAAAGGATTTTTAGATGATAAAAATTGTTTCAAGAAGAGGATAAATTATAAAAAAAAATAATCAATGACATAATTATACTTTTGTATTACGTATACAAACATACGTTTAATTTTTCAAAAAATTATAACACCATAAATATAAAAATTTACAGAGACATAGAATAAAGACATATTATATAAAATAAAAATATATAATAAATTTATAAAACCGTTTTACTTCACAAGTACTAAAATCTTTATTTTATACAAACATTCTAAAAATTTATAAATATAATAATATATCATATTAGTTTTCTAATAACTGAAGGAAAATGAAAATATAGGTAATAATAAAACATTAATTATAATAAACGTCTAATTTTTTTTACAACTTAAATTTAAGAACATTATCTACTAAAGCAGAAAACAAGGCATATATTTATTGGTTTTCTTTAGCATGTAAAAAGTTATCTAAATATTTGTATCTCCACTTTGCTAACTAGATGTCATTTTACGCACACGTTGTATTAATAACGTTTATAAGTTCATTGCAAAATTATCCATTGGCATCGTCTAGTAAACATCAAAAATTGTTATATTTAACTGAAATATTTGCTGTCCAATATAATTCCAATAATAAATTTGGCCATACACACATATTAAAATTAATATTAATGATATATGAACACTAAATCTGAATAATTTACCACATAATATTCTGTTGAAAACAAAATGCTACAATGTGTTTTCCCAGTATCTGTTGATTTATTTAAAAATATTAATTTTGTTCTAAATAACAGCAACAATATCATGTGAAAATGTTTTTCGTTGTTGCTTTTAGAACTTAATGGTCTAGAACTATAGATGAATACAATATTTTTATCCAGAATTATTATTAACACTTTATAATTCCTGTGGTACATAGATAATTTTATTTTTTACCGAATTTAGTATATTTTGACCCATTTTAGAACGAGACAAATCTTCTATTTATTAATCTTCCGGTATATTTGTATTAACGCTGGTTGTAGAAACTTTGTTGCCGGGTTACTATTGTATTAAACAACCTGTTTATAAATCGACCGTTTTTGTTAATCGAGTTCAGTTTTTGTCAAAAAAAGCCTTTCGGCCCAGGTTCGAGTACCTTTCCATTAAAATGGAAAAAATAATAAAAAAACTGAAAAAGCATAAGAAGCGTTACTTCTATCTAAGGGTGAATCCATTTACAAAAAAGAATATCAAAAATATCTTCAGTGGTTGCGAACGAAAAATATTGTAGTAGGGGATATCGATGAAACATTTCTCTTGTAAATTTATTATATGTGACATTAATGATGTAAATGAATTATTAGAGTAGTTAGATCTCTATTGAATTTAACGGTTGTTATACCTATAAAAGGTAGAAGAAATTATGGTATCTTAATTCCGTTAATAATGTCTCAAGGGAGTTATGACTCTATTTATGTTTTAAAAACTTATTTAAACAAATAGCAAAAACTAACCATAACAAACTGAAATTAAATGTGAATACAACTTAATCTGTATGTTTTATCTGCAACGTTTTTTCCACTAAAGCTGAATACACACGTAAAGACTTATTGGGAGCAATAAATTGTACCAATTAGTTGTTAGAAAAATCGTTAAGACAAATCGACACTAATGCAAAGTTATATTGAATCGAATTATCGTATAAACTTTATCTGAGTGTTTATTCGTTGCATCTGTGTCATTCACAAAGATTTATTCTTAAATTTGGTAAGATTTATCTGTAATCGTTAATTTTTCTGAATTCCAGAAAATCTGAGCCTTTTAATTTATATGAGTACAGTTGTTGAAGAATGATAAATTCGAGTACAAGCATCCGACTTTTTCTTGTTTTGTGAAACTAAAGTTGTTAATTTGTGTTTTATTTAAAGTTATATATGTATTTGAATTTCATTGATATTATTTCAAGTTCCTTGCATAAAAATATCGTACCAATATTCTTTAGTCAACCGGGAGATTGATTTTTGTTCCGTTAAAATGGCAACTATAATATTATACTAATAACACGGATTCGGAAAACGAATTTATGCCTTTAGCAATCCTCCAGTCTAGAAAGTTTTTATAGGCAGACATGTAATGGTCCTTAGACTTTGTGGTAGCAATCCATGACTTGTTGATTTGGCCGCCTCTACTATCTCTGGTGGTGTACAGGACTCATTATCAATCTCATAAATCATTTTTTGATTTTAAACGAGTTCTTGATATGCCACTTAATAATCACTACCTACTTAACATTTGACAATTTTAAACGTCAAAATTAATAAAAAGAAAAGATAAGAAAAACGTCAAATCATCCACGCCGCGCATCGGTATGTTGTATCACGTTGGCATAGCAACAAATGTAAAGTAAATGCAAAGTATGATTTATCATAATTCACTGTTATCAGCTGTTATATTTCACTCTATTACAAATATTGTAGCGTTTTTTTATAAAACATTACCACTGCGAACGGCAGCTTTTCATCGGAGAGCAGTCGTGGATAAGGTATTTCACTAGAGAGAAAACTAATCAATAACAATAAACAAAAAAATACAGATATTGGGCGCCAGGCATGTACAGAGAAAGAAAACACAGTTGTATATTACTTAAAACTAATGGCTATATTTATTCATGATGTTCTTTGCTGGTACATGACATTGTAGAGTTCTAATAAATATATAGTGATTATATGTATAAAAAAATGGTGTTAAGAGTTGTACTAAATATCTATGAAAGTAATACCATTACAAGAAGTAATGTAATGGAACCTAAGATCTAAATAATATTTTAAATATTAATCGACATGAATGTTCTTAACAATCTAACCACTAAACATAGTCTGTACGATATTACTTAAGATGTACATTATTGTTTAAGACTGAAAATATAGAAAATCTAAAACATAAAAACTAGACCGTAAATCTACACTTAGCTGTTCTTTACGTAATCTTGCTTCAAACAGTAACAGCGTGAGGTGGTCTCGCATCTCTGTACTCGGCCATCAAATACAACAAAAGGGGCCAGAATGAGGACACCATGAATTGGAACAGCCGTAACTACTAACTAGCTTATGGATGGGAACGAAGCAGCATGGGGCTTACGCTACATCCATACTGTGGCAATATGGGGACACTACCCGTACCTTGGTACACTACTAGGACCTTGGATAATGCCCGAACCTTGGAATCAATACATAGATATGGGACACCTGCCCATACCTTGGACACAGTCCGTCCATAAGATAACGGTACAGGGGAACACTACCCGTACCTTGTACACAGTCCGTCCATAAGACAATGTACATCCATAAGATAATGTACGTCCATAAGATAATGTACGTCCATAAGATAATGTACGTCCATAAGATAACGGTACAGGGGAACACTACCCGTACCTTGGATACTACTAGGACCTTGGATAATGTCCGTACCTTGTAAATAGTCCGTACCATGGACCCTAAAAATACGAAACTCTTGTTTATAATCAAACAAGGTCTAATAAACAAAATGAACCTACCTCGAATTACTTCCGAGGGCTCAATAATAAACAAAAGAACTGTCCTTTCTTCCATGTAACCATTTCTTCCATGTAACATTCACAAAGGACAAAAGAAAAGGGACACCAACGTGCCAGCAAAATACAAATACAAGTTAAGTTGGGACATCCAAAACTCTACCCTGTTGCTTTGAAATAGCAGCTGATTCATATTATACAACAAGATTTAAATAATCACCATTTCTAAAAGCCGGGATGGTTAGGTTAGGCTACAGAGCGTTAAAAGCGAAAGTCAGTCCACAGCACAGAGAGTTGACAGAAGCGATGTTGACAGCGCCTCCACAGAGCGGTGAAACGATAGCAGGGTTGGCGACTAGGGAACGTAAAAATTACGCCAAGCGTGCCAAATAAATTATCAGGCCTGAACGATACGGAATCCGATGACGATACGCCAGACATCATATATATCATATATAAAAAAAGACATGTAACGAACTAAAAACGTTACAATATGGGCACCATATTCCATTCAGCTAGGAAGTAGAATATTGATTTATTATTAAGTGGTCGTGGACAAAATACTTTTCAACATTTACTATAGTTGTGAGGTTGTTCATAATTTGCGACAGATTTGTCTTCCATTTTAATCGCTATGTTGTGTGTATTTGTCAGCAATTTATCTCCCAAAATTAAAAATTTTTAGGTGACATAGACTAGCAGATTTTTCGTTACAATATCTTCAATTCAACGATAAATCGGTCAAATCGGAAGATAAAACTGTTCGTGTGTATTCAGCTAAAGCAAATCGTATGATAAGTCGTTGCGTCTGGACCGCGCTTAACACAAAACTTCGTATTTACATACTATCCAAATCTCCTTTAAATTAAAATCTGACTCACTACAATCGCAAAATAATTTCGTAAACATTCCAATACCGCGCTGGCCCACTTTAATCCAATGAATCAGTTTGATACTCGACCGTAGGTTCGGGTGTTTTACGTTCGGTTGTTTCAGTCCTGCCCTGGATTCCTTATGAAGCCCGGTTTATTTTCGGATTGTTTTGCAGTGAATCACCCGGTATAATGCAATCGGGGCGGGCCGGCTTGATCTTGGCATTGGTTCAAGATCAGGCCGTAAAGAATTTTTCGGAAAATTCAGGTGAAAATTAAGTGGCGTGGTGTTTTAGTTAGTTTTTGAGCAAATTCGAAGCGGAGCATCGACACCACATCGAAAAGGTAAGATTTTTTAATTCTTGATTTTTTATTTTCATAATTTAGTTTTTGTTGTTTTGGTATAATTTAAAAAAAATAATTACAGTGAAACGATAATAGAACCCATATAGAATAAAACTTATTCAAATAAAAAAAAATAATCATATTAGAATTAAACAAAGACATTTTCTCAATAAATCTAACATCATTTTTATTTAAATATATCAATTATTTTGACTTTATAATACACTAATATAGAGGGTGAGTCTTAAATAAGTCCAAATATTCTCAGGGCTGGTAGATCTCGATAAAAGAAACATATTTTCTCTTTGCCGTTTTTAAAATTAAAAAAAAATATATTTTTTGCCTGAATTTTGAGAACTATTGAATCTTTTCTGGGTTTTATTTCTTGTAAATTAAACGTACTAAGTACCTATATACTGCCATTTTAATTAATTATGTTTAAATAAAAAAGTAAATTATGTTTTTTGACTAAAATTAAAAAAAAAAAAATTTTTTAGAAAAAATAAAAATTTTCAAAAAAATTTTTCGCGAAAAAAAAACTCATAGACGTGTTTCTGTGTCGTCGAAATATACTACCCCTAAAAATATTTGAACTTATTTAAAATTTACCCTCTATAATCTTTAAAGTTAGTTTCGAGGTTTAGGTGAAATAATAATATTAAGTACGTTTCGTTAAATTACTTGCCGTGAATTATTGGTGTATTTTTATAATTAGTCTACACCTTTGAATGACATATAATAAAACTTCGAAGAGAATTGAATTATTTATTATCAGATATTTTTCAATGTAGAAATTAGAAAAAATATTTTGATTAATTAAATATATTTTTATTTATTTTAATATTCTTCTTCAAAATTTGCCATTATTATTTTGAGAAACCCTGTACTAATAGAATGTTAATTTCTTGTTTATTTGATGGTTTGATTTGATTTTTGTATACTTATTTGCTGAATAGAACAGATAATAAAATAATGTTGTAAGTTTTTTAATTAAGATTTTTTGGTGACTATTTAGTCATTATTTTTATCCACTAATGAGAATTTAAGAATGAAACAGAAAAGAATAATGTTTTGTATTATCCAAGGAAATTCATTAAAATAATTTCTATATGTTATTAGAAAAGGAAATTTTTTTTATTTTTATTAAAATAAATGTTAATCGTATACCTAAAGATTGTGAAAAATTTATATTATTTTATCATCTAGTAAAAAAGTCGGAATTTTGCGTTTTTTCTTTAAATTCTTACTAAAGACAGTGGCTAATAGCCTAAATTTACAAATAAATCAAAGTATATTCTATGTTATGTATGCAGAAAAATTATTAAAAAGAGTCAATATTAACAAACTTCTCTGAAATTACCTGGAAGAAAGCAAAGAACAAACAAAATAAATTTCAAAGAATAAAAATATAGTTTACTTTGATAATATGTTTGTATAATTCTAATGTATTTATTTAGTCTTAATAAAAGATGTAAGTGCAAATTACTTAAGTAGATATTTTGCGAAAATCCTGGTTATTTTGCCACTAAAAGGGAAATGTTATGTAAAACCCCTCTGCCTAGAATCCAAACAAAAACTAGCTTGTTTGTGGCTCTTAACCTGTTGATAAACTTTTCTTACGCAACAAAGTATGCTTAACGTTTTAGGAGGTATATCTCCTTTTATCATCAGGAGGAATCAACAAAATCGCGTTTTGTAACATATCTTTAATCGGATATTAAAAATTACAGTTGGGCGGTTATAACTTTTGGATTCACAACAACAACATAAAACACTAATTCGCCACAATATCCCAAAACACTTGGAGTTGCCAACATAAGATGTAACTGTCATTGTATTAAGTGTGTATTTTGGTGATTTAGTGCTTTATTTTGCTTTTTAAATATTTAAATGTGAGGAAAATTTGTTTTACCAGTCAAAAGGTACTGACAGCCTAGTCTCGGTTTGGATTCTAGGCAGCAGAGATTTTTAAAAAAGATTTTTTATATTTTTTTTAATTATATTTTAGTGGCAAAATTCTAGTATAAAAGAGTATTAGTACAAGTAGTTTTATTCTAAATAAATTTATATCTAATTCCAAACTAATAATATAGTCAAAAATTATTGTTTTGTACAAAAATATCAGTAGTACTTCTTGACTAGCTAATGCGTTTCAAATATATATTTTTATTATATCTAAATAAAATGTACATCAATCTTAGATTTAAAATAGAATATTTGAAATAACTAAAATTTATTTTGACCGTAAAATGTAATGGATATATTTTTTAAGATGTTGGAGATTGAGACACGTTGGGATCCTATCCACGGGTACGATTATACCTATTGGCCGGATTCAAAATATTTCAAAAATTACCGATTCTCACCGCCCATTACCATCACAGATGACTGGTCATACAGATCCAGGGTATGGTTCCCGTACTACTGGTCTACCAGGAGGCTTTTCCAGCACTACCTCGATTACAAACCCTCTGACATATCAATTAGGGATGTCAGAGTAAGTATGATTATAACTACATTTACATTACTATACCGGTCTTTTTGCCAAAAGTGGTTCACCCCTATAACTTTGTTATTTTTTCAGACAAAAAAAACGAGATTTAGTACGATAGTCTATGACATAAATCAGGATTCAATGACGTTTACAGTAACTTTCGGGCACTTCCTGTTTCACCGGAAATGATAACAACTTTTGATTTTTATATGGTACCTTTATCTTTATTTCATAGAAAGTTACATTCTGAATAGAATGAAATATCATATGTCAAATTTTGACATATTCGCTTAAAAAAATACTATTTCAAATTTCAATCTACAGTATGTCCCCGGATTTTCTTTACGAGAGGAAAAACCTTTTTATTATTGACTATTTGAGAAAAACGCACTCTATAAAAATTTTGCTTGTTCTGAAATGGTTAATTCCGTTTATACTTTTCCGAATTTCCATATCGTTTTAGAGAAAATTAACAAAAACGTGAAAATATAGTTGAATTTTTTCTAAAAGTCCTAAATCTAAGTAGTCCTAAAATCCAAAATGCGTTTCCATGGTAATATACTTTCGTTTTCAACCTTTGATAGATTGTTATTGATAGAATTTTAATTAATGTCATATTTTTTGCTCTTTTATAATGTTAAAGAAGCACAACATTTTTGTTCAGTTCAGTACTACGCATGTACTACGGAAAGGGTGATAATAGTTATCCGAAAATGTGATACCTTAACATCAGCAAAAATATGACGTTAATCAAAATTAATAATAACCATCTATCAAAGAATTAAATCGAAAATATATTACTATAGGAACGCCTTTTGATTTTTAGGAATTTTTATTTTTGGATTTTAGGAAAAAAATCAATCATATTTTCATTTTTTTTTATTTTCTTTAACACGGTATAGAAATTTGAAAAAGTATAAACGGAATTAACCATTTCAGAACAAGCAAAAACTTTTATGAAGAATGCATTTTTTTTAAATGTCAAAAAAAAAGTTTTTCCTTTTGTAAAGACAATCCAGGAACATACTCTCGAAAAATATATAAAATCTCGAGAAATATTAAACGATCAATTCTGTTTTTCCAACGAGTCTTGATTAAAAAATAGTGGTTTTAACACAACCATGGTACTCTAGATTGAAATATAAAATATCATTTCTTTAAGCACTAATGTCGCTAGTTGACAGATTATATGATATTCTATTCAAAATGTTATTTTCTATCAAATAAATAAAAAATACCGATAATTCAATTTAAAAGTCAAAAGTTATAGCCATTTTCAGTGAAACAGGAAGTACCGACACTAATTGAATTCGTCAATCATTCCTAATTTATGTCATATACTAACCAACCAAATCTTGTTTATTGAAAATTAAAAAAAAAATAAGGTATAAGAACTTTTGAAAACACATTTGAAAAACACCCGGTAGAATATATAGAATGTTATTTTCAGTAATTTTTGTCTTTTTTTAGTTGAGAAACAACCTTTACTTCTAAATTGACCTATTATGTCTCAGGAGTTGTGGAAGAACATCAAAAAAACGTCAAGGAAATATAAAAAATCATTCAAGTCCGGAACTGAGTGTTGATTACTAACGAGAATATTTCTTTGATTTTGTTGTTATGCGATGTAAAAAACTAACGAACGATATAACTTAATTTTAATGAATCGACGGTAATAAAACGTGTCTCAAAAAATCAAAGTATTTTTATTTTTACTACCTTTGACTTTTTATTAATTCAGAAAACCAACAAGACATTTATCAAACTTACATAAACTTGTAATAAGATAAAACTTGGAATAAAAAGAGTGGTTTATTTAAAGGGTGACATTGGTACAGTACGTTGAAACGATATTGAAAGCCTGTCACTTGGCTTTAAATAAATTCGGTTTCAATTGGTGTGAAATTGAAATAAAGATAATCAGACTTATTTAATCTTAAATGAATAGATTAAATGCATAAAAATAATTAAATTATGTATTTATGAAGACATATCATGAGATTTCATTTCTTGTTACTTACAAGTTGTTAATAAGAAGAAATTGAACAGTAGGCAATTAAAAATACAGTTTGAGCTTGAAATAAAACCACATATTTTTAGTGGTGGCAAATTTCGATTCCAGGATCACGTTCATGAGGTTTTTTTTTAAAAATTGTATTTTTTGATATTTTTTGAAAGGTTCTAAAAAAATATTATAAAATATCTTGATAATATGGCAACATAGATAGTAGATTAAATTAAGAGAGACGAAAACACAAAAAAAATCCAAGGGTTCTCAAAATTTAAGAAAAATTAATATTTTAAATTTTTAAAATAAAATACAAGATCTACAAGCCCTGAAAATATGTGCACATATTTAAAACTGTAAATATATTATAGTCCTGTATATCAGTGATGGACATTGCGATTCTTTTTAGTGAATCGAATCACACGATTCAATTTCTCATATTGAATCGACTCCTACGATTCGTTCATTTGAACGAACCACATGCACAATTTACGTTTCATAAAAACAAGAATCGGAACTGGCACTACCGGCTTAAATATACAGTTCTTTCATTTTTTTTCAACACTTTATGACACTGGCGTAACTGGATTGATTATTATACCAATAATATTAAATTATCAATCCAGTTTATATATACTATTTATTAAAGACTCCTTAATACCAGTTTAATATTTTTAGAGCCATATTTTAATTCTGATTTAATAATCATAATCAATAGTATATAATACCGCATGATCGAAAAAAAAATGGCGTTCAGTTGGCTTGGAAATGAATTTCTTAATTTTTATATTGAACGAGGTATCTTATAGTATGTTTATATTTGTTGCATGTATTTGTTTAAGTATTTTCTTTGGAAATGTCTTTAGTAAAAAAACTATTTTGTAAACAGTCCTTGAATTAAAAGCCAACAGAAGTAGAATTCTCAATAACTTTTAATTTACTTTTTTATTACAGTTGAGGGTTGGAACCTTTGGTGTTACACAGCAAAATAAAATTACACTAAATCACCACAATACACCAAAACACTTTTACTTTTACACTGGACGCGCGTTTCGCTAACCATGTTAGCATCATCAGCAGATGATTATAAACTCAAAATAGTGAAAAAAATGTAAAATTATAAACTCAAAATAGTAAAAAATGAGTTTATAATCATCTGCTGATGATGCTAACATGGTTAGCGAAACGCGCTTCCAGTGTAAAAGTAAAAGTGTTTTGGTGTATTGTGGTGATTTAGTGTAATTTTATTTTACTTTTTTGCACTAAAAATATTGTTTTTAATGTTAATTTAGTGTCCATAGTTTCAGGAGGAAGATCATCTGTATTTTAATCATATTGCCATCACTTTAGTTTCGAAATGTGTGTATGTATAAAGAGTTATAAGTTTAAATTGATTAATTTAACAGATAATAATTATTGTAAAATATATTTTGGACGATTTGTGGGCTACTAAAATATTGGGAAAATACTTAAAAGTATAGAATAATATGTAAAATCAGCTAGACTATAGTAAAAAAATTATGGGCGTTTTTTAAATATAAACCAATGAAATTATTTTGTGTTGTGGCTGCTTTTCTTTACTATTTATGGTTTGGTTCTATTCTTAATTTGCTGTGGCGTGATTCACCTTTTCTTAATTTTGCTATTTTTTGTAGGTTTTGTGCATTCAAATATATAATAAGCGTAAAAATAATTAAATATAGGTACAAAAACACTTGCAAAGAAACGTTTCGGTATTTTGGCACTTCATAATGACTTAGACTTTATAAGATTGCTCCCAGCATTGTCGTTGTGATAATAAAAGATAAATTAATGGAAAAGGACACGGAGAAGTTTCTTTTGTTGAGCCTTTAATGGCTCTCATTGTTTATAAACACCCCTGGAATATAAAGTGAGATGAGACATTCCAAAAACGAAAATGGCTCGGTATAACGACAAAACTCCATAACAATATATCTAAGCTGTTCAATGTTATTTTTAAAACTTTCACCCGGTATTTGTTTTATAAAATATATAACATAAGAAATATTATATCGACTAACACTTAAAGTTACTTATAAAAATATTATCTGTATCTCCGGATCATCTTTACAAGAGGGTAAACTTTTTACATTATTAGAATTTTGAAAAATTCATTCTTCACGACATATATTTTGCTTTTTGACGACATTTATTTTTAAAATGTTAAACAAGCATGAATTAGTTCAGTTCTACGGAAAAGGTGATATAAATGTTGTGCTTCTTTTTGTAGAGCAAGCAAGACATTTAAAAAAGCAAAAAATACGCAATTGCTTGCAAACGGCATATGATTTGAAAAAAAAAAGAGTTTTATTACTACTTTCAAAGATATATTAAGAATTTCGATATAATTAAAGAAACACTATTTTCTCTTTCAAAAATTAGTTTGGGTCTTTGATTGGGAAAGATTAGATCTTTTCAATTGTTTTAACTTTTATATTTTTTTTATATAAAAAAAATCTTTAGAATTAGAAAATTATAAAATTGAATATTTATAGTATTTTCAAAAAAAAACAATATAATACGTTTTCCTTTATTACAATGTGGGAATGACATTGAGATCTTAAAATTAAACTTATTATTTTTTAAACTGATGTCTGAATACAAAATAATTCATAATCTATTTTACTATTTTGGAATGCAACGTTCATACTTTGAAGCAATATGAGATGCACTGTATAATGCTGTGCTAACCTATTGTTTTAGTAGTAACTTAGTAATACAGTGAACTTGCACTTGATGTAAATTGCCTGTAGCATTGTATACGTATAAATATTAGTTTCTGCTATATATAGTTCATGAAACAGGTTTTAATACCACGTTTATTGTGTTAAACTAAGCAAGTTTTACCGTAGTAAGTAAATATAAATATATTTGTTATATGTTAATTCAAAATATTTATATATATAACATACATTCTAAAATTAACCGAGGAATAAATATTAAACAAACAAAGCAACTTATTCTATAAAATGTCTATATTTTAATAGGTTTATGCAGCATGTATATTTTGCTGCATAAACCTATTAAAAATATAAATTTTATACAGAATATAACTTGCTTTATTATTTATAACCATACGTTGTAGCCCCAATTTTCAAAATATTAAACAGTCAATGCATAAAAAATGTACAGTACCTACATTTTTTTTATTTTAGCGATAGAAATATGATAGTGTTAAAAACGAGCATATATAACAATATTATAGTGCATAGAAAATAGAATGTAAATTATAAGCAGTAGTAAAGTGTATCTGAATGTAATAATTTTTTCAGAGAATGATCTACCTTAATTACCCTTACCGAACTCTCGATTATTACCCCGAAACAACGAGATACTTTCGACCATTAACCTTATACTATAATTATTATTACCCGATCAGAAGTCTGAACTACTATTCTGACGTATGGCCCTACTATCCATACCACAGATACTTATACTACAAGTACACATTACCTTCAGACAGATATTACCATCTGAAAAGCGTAAGTATCTGATCATGGTACCTCAACAGAGTTAAAATAATAGGTATTAACACACATATCACAGTTATTAACTCTTATAATGACGCTTGGATTCATTATAATAGGTTAACGGATTCATATTAACAAAACGGATTCATATTAACAATTAAAATAACATCAATAACTGTTTAATCACAGCTAATATAGGACCGTAATCGCATTAAAGTATATTATTTAAATTACAATTGATACACCCTGAAGTAAAGCAACGCAATTTAGTGAATAATTATAATACAGATTTGCTGTTATTTCTATTTCGGTCTATACCAAAAAAATCTGTTTTTATACCGGTAGTTTAAAATTGAATTGTAACAAACGCAAAAGTACAAAGTATACGAAAATAATATGTGTATACTTTGTAATTGTATCATCAAAATTTATATTAAGCCAAGAATTCTTTCAAAATGTACGTTAATAGTGTAATTGTATATTATAGAATATTGTCCAGCAAGGGAACATAGATTTTGATAGACATTTAACATATAATAGAAAAAACAACCCTCCTATTGTATGTGTAATTAATATAGTCTCCATGTTCTAAAGTATAGTTGTTATACTTGAGAATATACAGGTATATTCACCGTAACTTTTATAATAAATATATGGAGTCTCATTTAAAAATCGTAAATATAGGTTAATATTCCAAAAATGAAAATATTAAGAAAAAAAATAACTATGCTACTGTATTCCACACAAAAATATTCTATAAGTATCCGTTCTTAACTTTTTGCTACGTTTTTTACTTACGACATTGATTTCGAGAGTTATCTGAAATTGCAACATTCCGAACATTACTCGTGAAAACTAAGAGAGCCCTAACAATTTTGTTTGTGGTATCATTGGTTTCATAAAAAATAACTAAGGTTCACGAAAACCACAAGGTTCTATGTCACTAATAAGCGAGATTTGTAACCCTCATTTTCTACCAAAATGGGACACTGTATGTACAATGGTTTTTAATTATCCAAGACCATGATCTTTGGTAGCTAACATAATGATCAATTCTCGGTTCTGGGCATGGGACCAATCCACACCAAATTTTAGTATCTTAATTTGTGCACCACCAACAAACACAACTTTTTTAAAATTAATGATTAATTTTGTTTTTATTTATTTTTTGATATTTTTGACATGTTTTATAGAAAACATTCAAATATTGTCAAGGGAACCAAATGATTGTAAAATAACAGCATTGTCTATATATACAGAAGTAAAAAAATACCGAGGGTGTCATTTAAAAATCAAAAGTTGTAGTAATTTCCGGTGAAACAGGAAGTGACCAAAAACAATTGAATACGTCAATCAATCCAAATTTATGTTATATACTAATATACCAAATGTCGTTTTTTTATCTGAAGATATAAAAAAAAAGTTATAGGGGTGAGCCACTTTTGAGACGCATCCGGTATATATGATCTTGGAACAAGAGTATAGTCTGGATTCAAGATAATCTATAGAAAAAAAAAATCCATAGTATATTCGCAGACAACAAATAATCAAATAAACTATATTATTAATAGTAGAAAATTATCGGTTAAAACATTAAGAACATCATCTTAAATATACGAGTATTAAATTTGCTACCGACTACTACACACCATAAAAAGACCAAATACCTAAGACAATAACACTAAAGACAGAAGAAAAATTAACACGGACCATTTTCATTAAATTGACTGCGTTTCATTGCTGGCTGGTGCAACTCGAAGAAACAATTTTCCTTTGTCGACCAACGAAACACAGCGAGACCTGTTAATTTTTTCGAGCACATTAATTAGTTTTTTTCAGGACAGACAAGCTCGGCAGCCGTGTACGGCCCGAGGCCATCAAAAAAGCTTTGTTCAATAACAGTCCTCATTTTAACTGTGGCCAACTTTTTCCACTCATATTATGTTTTTGTGTCGTTTTATTTTTGTTCCATTTTCCAGCTATTTTATTTCTCTATATAAACAGTTATTAAATAGTTAATTTTTATAAGATATATTTATAAAAGAGATACTTCTTGTTTTATTGCATATTGGCAAGTTTTAAGATAGATTTTTTGTTAGTTTTCATTTTTTTTAAATTTAGATTTTTTGTTTTTGATTTTTCTCCTACCTTATACAGAGTGTTTCAAAACAAAAGAGAAATACTTTAAGAGGCGATTTCTTGTTAAACTGTAGGGTACATTGTTTTATGTACAGGGTGGCTCGAATTCGACGCTCATTATTTGGATTTCGGAAACCGTAAGAGATACAGGATCGGTTAAATGGAGGCAAAGTTGCGCAATTAGCTAGCTTAATAAAATGCCGTATTGCATTTTAAAAAATTCCGAATACTTCCGAATATATTTGAAAAAAACGGAATTTTCAATTTTGTTTTCTATTGTTTCCTGGCTTTATTTGTTAAGATAACTTAAAATGAAAAACACATTTTCATGGCCACTTTTTCTGCTGTTTAACTCTGTGTGATTAAATATTCACTTTGACGTTTCGGCTACTGGCGACCATCATCAAGTTAATTTTTTTTAAATACGGACCTGATTTTTTTTTCAATTTAATTAAATCCTTTCATCACTCTTAAAATACTATATATAGTCACTTTGATATTTGCCGACGTTTCGTATAGAAAATTCCATCACCAGAATATTTTATGCAAAAAAAAAACAAAAATAAAAATGCAGTACGGCATTTTATTGAGCATCAAATTGCGCAAATTTGCCTCCATTTAACCGATCCTGTATCTCTTACGGTTTCCGAAATCCCAATGATGAGCGTCGAATTCGAGCCACCCTGTACTATACTATCGAAAAAAGAATGCGTCAAAGACGGCTAAAGAATGAAAATCGATGATAATTTTGGAGAGGTTAAACCCTATATCTAATTTATTTGGCCCGTACTCTTGTTTATGTTTATGGCATGTTTATATTTTTTTAAAAATTGTAAAAAATTCCCTAATACTTTGTATTGCCTCCCTTGGCTGCTACAACTGCCTATAATACGTCGCGTCCGTTCATACTGTCATTGAGGCTGCATATACAGGGTGGTCCGAACTGTATTCCGGAAACTTCAGCAGCATATTCTGCAGATAAAAATAAGTAAAAAAGTTCTTATAAATGTATGTCCTAAAACGCTTAGATTAAGAGATACAGGGTGTAGAAGTTTCATTTTTATTTCGATTTTTTCCAAATAATTTCTGAACTAACATCAATATTAGGATAAAATTTGGTGTCTGGGAGATTTTTAATATGAGAAATTCGATTTTGATATCAATATGACTCCTACTTGTAGAGGGCGCCACCTACATATTTTTAACTGGTTTGAGTAGTAATAACCTTTCGTCCGTACCTGTATAAAACTACCAAGTAAAAAAATATACATTTATGACGTTTTTAACTTAAAAAAGATCTCTTAATAAAAATCGCTACGAGTAATAGTTCTCGAGATATTTCAAATCGAAATTATCAATACCTGTCATCATTGACATAAATTAAACATGCAGTTGTCTAAATAGTTAATAGACGGAAATCATAAATTTGAAATGTATTTGTGCCAAACCATCATCAATCATCATTTTTTCGAATAAAATTTTATCATTATTTTAAAAAAATAAAATTTTTCCAAATTTATCTTTTTAGTCAAATAACTATCTACTCAACATGTTTATTTTTTGTCAATAATGACATGTATTGACTATTCCCATTCTAAATATCTCGAGAAGGGTTTATTGTAACGATTCTTACCAAGAGACATTTTTTACGTAAAAAAATACGAAAATGAATATTTTTTCATTCAGCAGTTCTATACAGGTACGGACAAAAAGTTATTACTCTTCAATACAGTTAAAACACATGTAGGTGGCGCCCTCTACACATAGGAGTCATAATGACATCAAAACCAGACACAACAGACACCAATTTTCATCCAAATATTAAATTAAATAATGAAACTTCTACACCCTGTATCTCCGAAACTAAGCATTTTAGGACATACATTTATAAGAAGTTTTTTTACTTCTTTTTATCTGCAGAATATGCTCCCGAAGTTTCCGGAATACAATTCGGACCACCCTGTATATTATACTGCCTTATGCTTTCCCATTTTTCTTTTCCCATTTCGAAATTATTGAACATATATACGAATAAAAGGTGATATATTTATATACAGCATACCATAGAATTCATGAAAATAGGGCTAAAAATAACAAAAAAATTAACACTATCACACAATTTGTCCAAACTCATATATACTCTGTTGCGTTTTTTTTGCATCTGAATGTAGATTTGTGGGTCTGGAAACGTTCTATACTTTTTTAATCTTTATATAATTAGTATTAATTGTGATAAGTTTTTTGTCGATTTTAGTAAATGCCGGCTAGAGATTGACCTGACCAAAATTATTATCGATTGTCATTGCCTAACCGTCTTTGACACTGTTTTTTTTTCGATCATACGGTACTATTTTATAACGGTATGCCAGCAGAATAATAATAGCACGCCAGACAAAAAATATAATAAGAATTAACGATTGCCATTAATAGAAATTTGTACACAAAAAATAAATCTATATCTATGTTTTTTCTAATCAAGGACATGTTTATATTAAATACAATCTTAAAATACTTGATCTTTTTCGCATTGACATTGCAGTTCTGCAAATAGGTATTAAAACATTTTAAACAACATTATTAATTCTGCATTTTCTTACAATATCATGTTACAACAATCTGCGTTTAAAGTAACATTATATTTTATACAGGGTGAGTTTCCTACGATGTTCTCTATGGGCATCTCGGAAACTACTGGAGATAGAGAGTCGGTTAAACGGGGAAAGAATTGCAGTTTTGTGGGGTCATAAAAATGCGCTTTTCAGATTTTTGAAAAAGTTCATGGCTTACTAGATATTTCGAAAAAAACAAATTTTGCCTATTTTAAAAATTGTCCCTAATTCCATTAAAAATTAACACTATCACACAATTTGTCC